ATAGTGCTTTACAGCCCTCTCTAAGTGGTTTACAGAGTCAGCATATTGCTCCCAACAATCTGGGTCCTCGTTTTACTGACCTCAGAAGGATGGAAGGCTGAGTCAACCTTGAGCCAGTCAGGATCGAACTCCTGGCAGTCAGTAAAGTTAGCCTGCAATACTCCATTCTAACCACTGCACCGCCACTGCTCTTTCTATCAATTAAGAGCCCCCTAAATTTTTATATTTATCTTTTCTTGTGAAAGAGTTTAATTTCCCTATTTTTTTCACTTCCCCCCACCCAATTGTCTTTAAGGTCATTGTCAGAGCCTGGTACTGGTGAAGACAACAGCCAAAAAACACTGGGTACGTACATATAGTAATTTATTTGAACTTAAACAATGGAAATTTCAGGGTAAGTTAAACGTGCTTCAAAGTAAGATTTTTGCAGTGGAGATGCCCTGTCTCATTCATGGAATTCTGGGCCGTTGATTAGGTAATTCTCTTATTTTTCCTTCTTTAGTGGGAAGGATGGACAACTCTGTTTTTTTTTAATTTAATATATAAAATACAAAGAAAAATAGAAATAGGAAATTAAGGGAAGGAAATGGAGAGGGGAAAAGAAGGTGTGAGGTACAAGGGAAAAAAGAAAAAAAAAGGCATTGACTTCCGACTCTTTTTAGCACAGTACAAGATAAAAACACTCCAGCCTCAACTTTTTGCTTTTACACATTAATATATAACTAGCCATTTCTATAACGACAAATCTATCTAATGGACAAAGTCAAAGTTTCAGAAGTGATATCCAAATAAAAAACATACTCAAATATATTCTACTCTTTGAATAGAATGATCAGTTTAACCATTCCTGTTTATCTTTCTTGTTGTGGAAATAGTATATATTTCTATTTGCACCTAATAATCTTTGTAACTATCGCCATGTTTATTAACAAATGTAATTATATTCTTTCAAATTTTTTGACCTTGCAAATTTTTCCCACCTTTTTTTTAAAATGTTAAACTTAAACACTTTTCTAGAATCAACACTTTCTAATGCATCTTTTTCTTTAACTTCTTAACATACAGGCTTTAAACGTCAGTATTAAGTTTAGCTCCCACCCTCCAAACTATCCTTATAGATTTTTTTTTTCTTTAAGGGTGGACAACTCTCAAACTCCTGATTGGTAGGCTCAGTCAGAACAGACTGTATGAAAATATTCAACTGTACCTTAATAAAAGGAAATTAAAAATGAAAATGATTTTATATGACTTTTTGTGGAAACATTCATGTATAGTAGTTTTTTTAATGACAATGTGAAAATGATACAAATGAGATTCTTAGAATTTTTCTGGATACTTTTCTACTTATGTTGTAGCCAGGAGTGGACCTGTTTCGTTTTTTCAAGGTTAGCCAAGATTGGCTGACTATTCCCATCTTCATCTTACCAAGATGAACACTAGGAATTTTTTATTTGTGTAATATCTTAATTTTATTTCTCCGTCTGAGCTACCTGACAAGATTTTTATGAGAACAGATCATGTATGCTACTTTGCACACTATGGAGGAAGGCAGTAGATAAATGTAAATGTTATAAATAAAAATTAATGAAGCTGAGAGAATCTATTTTTACTACCATGGTGCTGGGCATTGTATTATTGTACCAGCAATCATGAAACTATATTACTGATCTGCTGAACAGGAAAATGAAAGTGCTCCAGGCTGGAATGAATTAAACATACAAAAATATGTTATTGATTTTTAAACAACATTGTTGTATAAATTATGGTTGGCTTGAGTTCATTGTTTTTTTAAAGCAGATCCTTTTTAATTCTCACTGGTACAAAAAGCTCAGCTGGAGAGTCATCCCTTGTTGTGTGTTGAAATGAAATGTCACATTTTATCCTGGGGTGACTGCCTGGTCAAAAGTGTTAATTTCAAAGGGTAAAGCTGCTTGCCTTGATAATTATTCCATAGCGGAGATAGCTTGAAAACAAATTTATTGTAATAACTACTTTAAACTAGCTGTATTCTTTTATGATGCAATTTAATTTCTTTGCATCAAGAACAAGTATTTCAGCTGGATCCAAAATCTGGAGCTTAGATCCAGTATCTAGCAGTCAAAGATGTTAGAATGCATATCTAACATCTTTGCTGTTTTCACTAAACCATTCATATATGGGATACAGCATATGATACATTCACTGTATATGGGATACAGTAAGATAGCAAAGCAACCTTCTTGTTATTTTTGTCTGAGGTCTTTACAATTTTCTGTGGCTCTTATTCATTTATTCTTTTTTCTGTTTCTATCCTGATCTTAGGATAAAATAGAAATAGAATAGAATATAAATATTTATAAATTTATAAATCAATAAATAGAATATACAGTAAGTATAAAGGTCATTTAGGCCATCATTCAATCCCTGTTCAGTGCAGACTACAACAATAATACCAGAAAATCTTGGACAGCACTTAGAAAATCTGCACGTTGACAAAATTTCCACCTGTTAATTACAAAAGGCCACACAACTTGGGTCTGCACACATACTATGCTGATACAGTGCAACATCCTAGGTTCTTGGGAAGAACTCAGTGTTTATGAAGGCCAACACTGGCTAAAGAACTAGCAGCTGTGATTTCACATGTTTGTGTATATAACAACAACAACAACAACAATAATAATAATAGAATTATAACAGACAAGCTCCTGCCACATAACACTTACTAACACCATTAAGTAACTTTTACTTATTCTCCTACCTCACTTTGTTCCTCTTTGACTTATTTGTGCCTATTATAGGATCAGACTATGGGTCTGTCTAGCTCAGTGTTTCTCAACCTTGGCAATTTTAAGGCATGTGGACTTCAACTCCCAGAATTCCACAGCCAGCATTGCTGGCTGTGGAATTCTGGGAGTTGAAGTTCACATGCCTTAAAATTGTCAAGGTTGAGAAACACTGGTAGCTCGATAGGGTTGGTGCTCCCTGAGTGCAACTTCTTCCAAGATTTCAGATGAGTTGCCTTGGAATTGAGCCTGGAACTTGAGAACACACATGTCCTGCACATGAGCTCTGCCTAACCTGGAGAGGGTACTTCCTACTCTAACTTAGGTTGTGATGATCAGCCCAGGGAACAAATCATTATGTACTGCCAAGATAAAAACTTTCCTTATATAATTCATCTTGCCTGTTCTTGACAGAAGAATAGGAAAGAAGGAAAGAGGCTACAGTACTTATTCTTTATTTCAGGAGTTGAAGGGCAGGAGGGAGAGACAGAGAGAGAGAATATGGACAGGAGTGATTATCCACTGAAACTAACAGCGTTAGAAAGTGTGAACAGGTCACTCTGTGCCAAGGAAAGAAGCAAGTAGTTTATTTTAACCTTCCCATGGAGCTGATGGTTGGGATCTGTACATTTTTTAAATCCCAGGAAAAGCAACAGAAAGAAGTTTATGTCAATTTAGTAATGAAATTAGAGTAAACATATATGGCAACCCACCTCTGGTCAGCTGAAAGGTTCCATGCTTGTAGACATTTGCAAGTGAAAGAGTAGAGATGGAGGGATTCTTAATAATTCCCTCATCAGTGGCTGATAGTCATTGAGAGGCTATCCCAAAACTGTGAGTTGTTATTTAGGCTCCTTTGAAGATGGATTTAATGCTCTTCTGGAACTGCACCTCATCTGGGTCTGAAATGAGTCTATCCGCTGAAATGAGTCTATCTGCCAATACAGTATACAAAAAACTTGCACAAGGCAGATTGAGTTTTCACAGGTGATTAACCTGCCAGTCTAGCCCTCTGTCTTAACTCATTGTTCCCCCTAGTGCGGTCTATTCTGTGTTTAAGGAAAGTGATTTATGGATATTTTCATGCTGAGGTGAAGTTTGATAAGAGAAGATGGAAAGAAAGTCAGAGGAAACACCAATCTCTGACCTTAATGTTTCCTAAACTCCATAAATAAGAATAGCACCATTTACTGACATTGTGTTTGTGGCAGGATGAGGATCATCAACGGGGACAGTAAATTTTATACTGGTGTAGTGCTTTAACCTGTTTATGAACAAGAGCCCTTTAACTCCATCTGCAGTGAATGATTTAATTTTCTGGAATTCCCCTTGATTCTTTTCTTTGCTCTTGCAAACATTTTGCTTCACAAACACTTTTTAAAATTACAAATATAGTTACAGTCCACAGTAATATATTCCTTTTTTTTAATTGGCTTGTCAGAAACTGGATTGTCTGAACCTGCTTTCCAGAATGGCTTTCCTGCACCTTTAAAGATTGTTGGGGGATCACTGGCATCCTTACTGCCACCGGCCACCTCCTCCCTCTGTCTGACCAAGGAAGAAGGCTTGCATTCAAATCCTCACCTGTTAAAAGATGAATGGAAAGAGAGCAATGGAAGGGTATGTTTCCATTTCCATTGTTTTGCATTTTGGCATGAGGTGAATTTTAAGGTTGGTATTTAGCAAGAAGAAGTAAAGAAAATATTACAATAAGGACTCAAACTGGCATGATGGGATACTGGGGATGCTATTTGGAAGGTGGGCATAATAGCTGAGCTTGATAGGCTCTACTCTGCCATTTGCAAAGCTGGCATTATCAAGCAGTCAGTGAAGAATCTCTCTTGAGATACTGTCCTCAAGCTTTGGAAAGGAATTTCTGGCGGAGAAGAACTAAGGAGAGAGAGGGAATGGGGCCTAAGCCCAGAAGTGATACTGGCAACACAGGAGCTCAGCCATCAACACGAATGCTTCCCTCTCCAACAGAAAGGCAGTGATAATGAATTAAACAATGAAAAACCTAGTGGCTTCCTCACACTTCATTTTGCCCAATGATAGGGCTGGCCTTGGCTGGAATTCCATCCATCCATCTCTCCCTCCATCCATTTATCCATCCATCCTCCTTCCCTTCTATAAAGGCCTTTTTTTCAAGATCTCAAGGCAGTCTCTCTGCTCTATCTTTTCTCTCCACAAATTGCTCTTTGAAATATATCGTGCAGAAAAAGAGTCCCTGTCTCAAAATTAACCAGTGTGTATTCAGTGCAGAGGCTGGACTAAAAGCTAGATTTTTCCATGCCATTTCAGCATCTTTAGTACTACACTACCTTGTTTTTTTCAAAGATTTATCAAAAAGGCTTATAAATTGAGTCTCTTATGTATTGACTCTCAATACATAGATAGATAGATAGATAGGTAATAGTGGTAGGAATAAATTTGAGTCATTTGTTATTAATTACTGTGGAATATCAACAAAGTCTGTATGATATCCACATGCTCATACTCCACACATAGCAACAGCCATAAGAATGAAGGCATAATTTAAGTAAAGCATTGCATTTTATGGAATGCAAAAGAATACATGTCACATTGAAAATGTGTGATAATTATAATAAATGTGAAGTAGTGAATTGATGTTTGATACAAGCAATTTATGTTCAACGCAATGCTAAACTGATTAGGAAGGATATGTCCTAATACACTACAATCTACCACTTCCACTTTACCTGTCGCAGATCAAATCGTTTCTAATCAATTCAGCATTGTGCTTCTTAAGCTTTTCTATCTGGGGGGTTGAACAGCTTTAGGGTCAGTATGGGCTTAACATCAGCCCCAAACTAGCAGTATGTGTTAGTGATTTCATAAGAGATTGTTGCTATAAAAAAATTGCTGCAGGTCTTTTTTCTTGCTCTAATTTTTCTGATGTTGTACAACATCCCTTGATATTTTTTTCCTGATTGAATATTTGCCTCAGATTAAGCTTTATCTAGCAATTCCAACTTTGGGTAACAAATAATATGAGATATTGGGTAACAAATAATATGAGATAAGGGGAAAACAGGATTAGAGTTCCTTATGCTTTCCTTTGAAAAGCAGCTGGTGTGGTTTTATGAATATAACAAATTGGATTGATTCTGTATCATTAGGAACTGGGCTTTAATGCTTTTTCTCCTGCACCATTTCACTAATGTAAATTGGGCTCCTGGTCTCAAAGCTGCTGTTAAGCATGAAAGAAACTTCAGCAGGTACCTGTGTTACATATGGTGCATTTTCCCCTCTCTGCTTTGCAATTAGTTTCAGACTTAAATCAAGTATTAAATGGCTGGCATTCAAGTCTCTCCTAACAGCACTGCTCCCTCTTCCATCTTTATAGAAACTTGTAAAGATGCTCAGAGATCTACTGAGAGAATCTGCCATGTCATGATTCATGTCTAATGTGGCTTGAATCTCTCTTTTTAAAAACCCAACTTGAATTACACATGCTAAATTGATGGAACTTTCCATGGCTATCTATTCAGGTTGACTCCAATGAAAAATGAAGAGTGTGAAACTATCATTCACACTTGTAAAAGATTTATTTTGGGTTATAATAAATTAATAATGTAACAGATTAATCTGTCTCTTTGCTATTGTGTACAAGTTACTCTCTCTCTATATGCATCCGCACTCATACACATATACATTTGTATGAAGTGTGTATGCTTCTATTGTGTCCAGATTCATGTGACAATATCCAAGTCAGCGCAGGAGAAAATGCGTCAGAAGCAGCTAAAGGAGATAGAGTTCTTGCGTAAAGAAAAGGAAAAGGAGAAAGAGAGAGAAAAGGAAAGATCCACAAAAACCCAGGAACAACAGTCAAGGAATGCTCTGGATGGTATGTGATTACTGTAAAAGAAGGGGAAAATCTACTTTTGCAGATGGCTTATTTTGCCCAGTCACAGTACAAATGGTCTGGTGCCAAGTTTAAGGAGCCTACCCACTCCCCTCACCCCTGCGCTCATGGTGTCTTCTGGTAAACTTAAGATGGATTAAAATGGAGCCCTAGACAACAGTAGGAAAAGTAGGTCAAACAATCCAGCTCTTTTAGTAAGCAAAGTGTCTGATCGGTTTGATGTTGCAGTACCCAGCAGAACATTAGTGGGGAGTTATATTGGCAAATTAAAATTCTGATAGTAGTAGCTTTACACCACATTTTTTAAATAGTGCCAGCTAAAATGAACTTTTAAAAGATTTTTTTTAATTAAAACAACTATGTGCCAGTATTGGCCCCATTCATGCTGGGTTCTTTTCAGCAAGACCCAAGAAAGACATGTGAAATTTCTTCTGAGGAGTTTCCTTTATTTTTTTTTTCCACCTATGGACAGAAATTTTGCCAAGCTATAGCAACTGTTTGCATCACTATAAATGAGAATTGCTAGGGAGGCATTTTCTTAACTCTCTTTCTCGTGACCAGATTATCTAAACTTTGCTGTCTCTTTGCCCTTTGGAATTCAGCCCCTCCCTCAGTTCTCAATAGAGTTTTGCATAATCATAGATTCCCTTAGCAGTCAGAAAATTTAGCATACAAGATGAGGTTGAAGACTCCTAAAAATGTGGTAATTGATAATCTCAGAACTCTTTTTTCCTGAATTATGTCTTTGGGCTGAAATTAGATTCTGAAGGTTTGAGAATCTGTTTATGTAGGGTTGACATTAGATAAGATTGCCTTTACTCTGAATAAAAATGCCAGAAAAGAAGAAAAATTCATGACATCAGATATATTTCTATGGGTTTTATGTTTTAAACATAGAGAGTCCCTGCCAGGGACAATGTTGGATCTGATGTTATGTTTTGTCCGAACCACATATTTTAAAACAGCAACAGCAACTGTCTGTCCAGCAATATTATCTTCCCAGAAATCCAGAGTACACAACACTTTCAGATTGAAGGCTACCTTTGGCTTTTGTGTGACATAACGGGACTTGCATATATAAAACTATTGGGGTCCAGGATAAAAGCTATTTTTAATTTTACCCAAATTAAAATTACATTTAAATCAGTTAAATATAGTAACATAATCACTTTCCATGGATTTGCCCCTTCAAGCGCATTACAATTTTTAGTTTGCTGGCAACTTTGAAAGGTTCTCCAAGGGCCACTTGAACAGCTTTTGAGACCGTGGGTGTGTTTAGGACCACAAGGTGCACAACACTATTTAATTTCAACGCAATTATAGCACAGAGAAAATATTTTGTAGAAAGCATTTATCCGTTTTAAGTATATGTATGCTCTTAAGATGTAAAACTTTCAGAAAAGCATCAATGTTGCTTCCATGAACTATGCATTGTAAGTTTAGGGGCATTTGTAAGAACGTTTGGCAGTGCTCTCTGCTGCAGCAAGGAAAGATACATTCTGCCAAATCCAGACCCTTCTGCCTGGTCATTTTTTTATTTTGCTTTTTTTGCTGACAGAATTAGGAGGAAAAGGGTTGTTTTTTTTTTGAGTGCAATTGCTCAGTGTGATGTTTTTTTAAAGTGGGCCTTTGAAACCAACCAGTATACGTGGAATGAAGATTATCCTATTGAGCTATCATTTTTAGTTAATACACTGATTAATTCAACTTAAAAAAAACCTTCTGCTTGATTAAGACAGCATCCCTGATTAATTAGGTAGCTGCTTTTCTATTTCCTTTCTTCAAAATCTGAAACATTTTACTTTTTGGTTCACATGAAAAAGAATGCCAGAGTGATAAGTGTATGCATAATTTAAAACTATTGAGTTATTTTGTGTGCAAATGTTGAATTATTGTTGAAGTTCTTTCAGAAGGGAGTAGGCAGAAAGGAGTGAACCAATTTGCCGCAATGACATGAAGCAAGGCAGACAAACTAGACTTACCCCTTGGACCGGGGAAAGATACCAAAAGGTGGCTAGAAAATGCTTACATGGGAAATTGTATTTTTAATGCTGACATTGAAGCAAATCCCTTGTCAAAAAATGGAATCAAGGTGATACGTATTAAAAAAATCTCTACTTTTTTTTTGATGAGTTTATATTAACAAGTACATACAGTAAAGATTAATGTGTGGCTTGGTGTGTCCGAAGGTGATACGATCATAAGCAGTTGAATGTTTTTGGATATTTTTAAAATAAAAAATTTATAACACTGGAATATTAATGAGGATAGTAAAATAGTCTTGATCATTTATTAATGTGAACATCCATTGGTCCAACAGTGAAGTGGATGAATTGTTTTATCCTTCCATGGTACGTTCTGGCAGATGTTTCTTCCTTCATCCTTCACTGACCTCCTTAAATTACTTTCTGCAGGATCCGGTTGGCTTCACCACAATGGAGCCACCCCTGTTACTCTCCACCTGAGCAACCCTTGCAGAGCTTCTGTAGGGATGGCCTTAAGGAAACGAGTGAACAGGCCCTCGTTGCCCAGCATCCCTGTTATCAGCCAAGACAGCAATTTCCTGAGACATGCATCAGGTGTGACATAAAATTTTTGCCAGCTTCTTATATGTACCTCTTTTGCTTTTGCCATAATGTTAACTGGAAAGGACTTCGTCGATGTCATATATTTGTTCTGTAGGAAAAAGTTATAAAGAAGGTGCCTGCACTATACATTATAATATTAGATGACTCCATGACAGCAGTGCTGTCTCTCACTGGGTGAGAAGAGCCATTGTGAGGATGTACCTGTAGCCTGAGTTGCTGAGATATGTTTGCTGCTTTGTTGGCATACAATGGCAGCTCCATATTTGAGTCTTAAGTGGTTTCTTTCACACCTCGTAAACAATCATGGAGGAAGGACCTGGGAGGAAAGACTTGGAAGGAAAAGATGTGCATTTTCTGACTCTACTTCTGACTCTTCTTCTTCTTCCAGAACCCAGAGTATTCTTCTTCATGTTTTCAGTAGGATGTGACTTGGATATACTGTATATTGATAATAACACCTGAGTGTAATTTTATGTTTACAGCTAATTCCCTGCCAGCAAATCTCCAACACTCTCCAGAATGGGAAGAGGGCCTTGTAAGTACGGATGCCTTTGAGATAAGACCCTTGTCTCATCCAGAACACGAATTAATCGAGGCTCTCAAGTGGCTCAGCAGCAATGATTGGTAAGGAAAGGAAGAACACTACTTTCTGGGCTGTGTGAAAGTCTGTGACGTCAAGATCTAGTGCAGGATGTACATTGTCCAGAAAGAACTGCAAATGGCCACCAAATGTTAATATTTGTCATGTATTCATAAAGGAAGGTTGGGTAGGAAGTGTAATACAACCATGTATCATTTCAAAAAAGGAAATATGTTCAGAATGGGGGAAATGGAAAAAAAGACAATGGGAAAAGGTGGCAATGTTCTCAGATATATGGGTTTCCCCCAAATCACACAATTATAATGCCTGTGTGATGAGAAGGCTATGGGGCTTGCAATCTTCACTCCCTGTGCCCAGGAAGAAAGGCAGCGTGGGCAGATTTACAACTTCCCCCCCAATATGAATTCCCAATAGCAGGAATTCATGCCTCATTCCGCCTCATTGTGATTTCCTTTCCACGATGGTACCTTACAGTCACTGCCCACAACTCTGTGGCTCTTCTGAGAGTTGGCTTTGCCATGCACTATGGCCAGTTGATGTTGCATGGCTAGCTTTTTTTAAAAAAAAAATCACAAAAAGCCAATTCAAGGAGAAAAAAACCCAAGAAAGATGGATGGGTTCTATGTAATTGTAATTTTTAGTGCTCTCTCACAGAGCAACTGGTGGGGCTAGTCATTTTAGGAGAAGAAGATGCTGAGGCGGAGACATCTATAGAAGGTATAAAAGTCAAATTGGTGCCACCACTGCATGGCAGGGCCCTGCCCCCATTTTTTGCCAAATGTTGCATGTGCAATGCATATTTAAAAAGAGCTGGGCTTAAAGTGCACAGCTGCCCTTCTCTCCCCCCCCCATGCTCCTCCTGAGGATACCCACAGTGCGCCATGTAATATGAACATGCAGCTAAATTTGGAAGGCCAGGGCCAGTTGTAAATATAGGTAATGAATAACATCAGACAAGCTACTGTATCTGAGAGAATAAAAATTCCTTCAGAATTTTTCAGAAGCATTGTCCAAATGAAGAGCATGAAAAGCAAATAAATATTAAATGAAGAGCATGAAGAGCAAATAAATATTAAAAACAGCATTTAAAAAAAACCCAACAGATTAAAAGCTTTCTTTTCTGGAGGGGGGCACCTCTGCTGCATTGGTCTCAGCCTTTTCCAAGAATGGAGCCTGTTATGCAGAACTAGTAGATAAACCACCTTCTCTTATTCAGCTTAATTTGCAGGGGATCTTGTATGGTATATACACCATGTACACTGGTGATAAAACATTTTCCCTCCAGTAGTTCTGAAATCCACTGTGTAGGAGAACTTCAGAGTCTTTACTTTTCTACAGTTCTGCCGAGTTACTTTTGTGATATATCTCATTTTCACAGTCTTACCCAGTATGAGAAATGAGATTTCTGCAAAATGCCAGGTGAGACTAATGGTTTCTCTTCTCTTTTTTCTCTTTTTCCATCTTTCTGATAACTGCCTCTCAGGCACCTGAAGGAGAAAGGACTCCTCAACATCATATGCTTGGCTACCTGCCATTCAGAAGTTCTGCAGGGTAGACTTCATGACGTTTGCTTGGCAGCTACAAAGGAGGTGGGAAACGAATATTTAACATATGTCCAATCAATCTTCTCTTGGTGGATTACCTGATGCTTTCCAATCTGTTTCCATTTAGTCAGTATGTCTCCAAGTAGCTTTTATACTTTTGTGCACCTGTGTGTCTGCACAATGTGTGCTATTTATATTTATTTATACTAAGAAAAAAGTTAATAAACTTTTTATTATCTTCAGGGTGGGAATAAAATTACAGGAAAACAAGGTATATAAAGTAATCACATGTGCTCATATCTGCATTTGTTTAGAAAAATACGCTTTAAGAGAATGTATAATTTATTCTGATGAGGAGAAGGATAGGGGAGCAAAAGAGGGAGAGAATGGAGCAGAATGAAATGTGGACAATCCATGGTTTCCAGCAGAAGATCCCAGGGCTCTGCCTCTACCATTGCAAAGTGACAGGGGCTGGAACTCAGAGGTACAGTTTTCGGTGGCCATGCCAGGCTAGAAACTAGGCAACTGTGAGTTATAGTCCAGTTTAAATATGAAGCCAGCTGGAGGACCTTGAGGCTCTCTCTTAGCCTTAGGAAGGATGCAAGGGCAAACTCCTTCTGAAAATATTGCCAAGATAAGTGCAGGGACTTGTCCGAGCAGTTGCCCTGACTTGAAGGTACCCAAATAAATAATAAATAAAATGTAAGAATCTAAATGTCTGGATCAGCAGTTCTCAACCTATGGGTCGCGACCCCATTTGGAGTCGAACAACCATTTCACGGGGGTCGCCAAACAACGCAGTCTGCCATTTTCCCCCCCGCCATTTTTTCCCCTTTTCCTTAGCTGTGCTACTCCCTCTTATTCTATTGGCTTTTGAAAGCCAATAGAATAGACTCTATTCAAGAGACTCTATTCTATTGGCGTTCGAAAGCCAATAGAATCTATTGGCTTTTGAAAGCCAATAGAATAGATTCTCTTTAAAAGAGTCTAATTCTATTGGCTTTGAAAGCCAATAGGAATTGTCCAGGCTGTCTCTGCCCTGCTGAGCCCGCCAAAAGTCCCAGTCTGCAAACGGTGCTGCAAATTGTCTGCAGCTAAGGCGAGCTTTCTGGACGTTTCCACCCCTCCCTGCTGAGCAACTCCTAAATGTAAGTAAAAGAGGGCCAGGGGTGGGAGGTGGGAGGCCGGCGGGCGCAGGGAGGGTTGCTGGCGCGCGTGGGGCCCAGCGGGTGCCTTACCTCCTTTGGGCTGGGCCAGCTGGTGGCCCAGCCGGTGGTCGCCCTGCGCCCTCGCTGCCGCGTGCCATGGCCGCCCAGGAGCGCCTGGGTCTGCCTGCCACTGCACCGAACATGCGGTGGCCAAGGTAAGGCAAGCGGAGCAGTGGCGGGCGCAGGGAGGGTTGCTGGTGCGTGTGGGGCCCGGCGGGTGCTTACCTCCCTTGGGCTGGGCCAGCTGGTGGCCCAGCCGGTGGTCGCCCTGCGTCGTCGCTGCCACTTGCCGTGGCCGCCCAGGAGCGCCTGGGTCTGCCTGGCACTGCACCGAACATGCGGTGGCCAAGGTAAGGCTAGCGGAGCAGCGGCAGGCGCAGGGAGGGTTGCTGGCATGCGTGGGACCCGGCAGGTGCTTACCTCCCTTCGGCTGGGCCAGCTGGTGGCCCAGCCGGTGGTCACCCTGCGTCATCGCTGCCGCTTGCCATGGCCGCCCAGGAGCGCCTGGGCTTGCCTGCCTCCGCACCAAACAGGCGTCTTGCTCTGCGATTGCCGGCTCCGCACAAAAGTTTCTTTTTCTTTCCTTTTCTTTTCTAAATTCTACCCCCCTTTCTCCCCCTCTCCTGTCCCCTCTCCCATTCTTTTCTCTCCTCTCCTTCCCGGTGGCGAGATTCGGCCGGCTGAGGGGGTTGCTCTAGCTCGAGCAGGAGAGCCATCTCTATGCTCCTGGGTCACGTGGGTGCATGTGTGTGGGTCACGTGTGGGTCACGTGGGTGCGTGTGTGTGGGTCACGTGTGGTCACGTGGGTGCATGGGGTCGCGGCATTAGGAAGGTTGAGAACCACTGGTCTGGATCATTCATGTTGACTATAAAAGACATAAAACGATACTTAGGAGAAGGAGAATTCTTCTGCTTATGTGTATTTGAAACTGAATGAGGAGCAAATTTTATATTCATTTGTATATATACAATCAAATGTGTGAAATCATAAATTCTTATGCATTAAATAAATCTATTCTTACATATACTGTATATTTATGTCATGTTGTATAGTTACATTCTGCATGTGTACTCTGGTAACTAATCTATTGTGTATCAAAATTAAAGTTTGATCAAAAGTAGTGGAAAGTTCTCAAATGTTGTCTTGTCAAATGCCTTGCTACTGAAAGTTATCCAAGGTTACCATCAAACCATTCCTTCATAAACTTGGCTTGTACACAATGCTGAAGGATAATGGCATTTATTTGGTTTTTTGCTTGGAATCATAGCATGCTACAGTGCTATGAAAATGATATGTCTTGGGCCATCATGATGTAAAGCCTGGTTTTTCATATTTACATCCAGATATTGCCAGGATATTTAAATAATATAGTTTGCAAAGCAATGTTGTGATGCAAGTTATATTATTTGTCCCCTCCCCTGGTAGAAGCTCATGCTTAGAGTGATATATGAACTCATTTATTATGGCTTAGTATTAAGACGCTAATGAATTTGATTAAACAATGCCATCTCTCAGGACCTAGGAAGATGCCTTTTCTGTCTCAGCAGCTGTGCTTTGAATAGCATTTCTCTGGAGAGCCATATGGCTCCCACCTAATGGTATTTAGAAAGTCATTAAAAACTTGAGTTTCCTCTCAGATCTTAGTATAGAACGGTGGTTGTTGTTGCCACCCAGAGTAATTTAGAATTGGGTAGCCTCTAAACTGAATGAATGAATGAATGAATGAATGAATGAATGAATGAATGAATGTATGAATGAATGAATGAAATTTTTGTATATAGTCATAGATTTCCAGGCCTACTGTGCCTTAACTACAAACGTCTTAATTCTCTCTATTATGCTGCAAGATTATTGGTAGCTCAATATTGGAAGATGGATTGTTTGCCTACTGTAGAAGATTGGTCGCTTAAAGTGTCAAATTTAGCGGAAATGGCTAAGATTTCCGCTTATTTGAAGGATCAGTCATATGAAAGATATATTTTGGTTTGGAGAAGATGAATAGATTATATTCAGAAAAAATATGGGACTGAAAAGTTCCATTTGGCTTTTGGGTAAATTTGAGAATATTGTTATTGTTAATAGTTTATTAAATGTTTATAGGTAAATTAATATTTTATAATAGTTTGTATGATTTTATTATAATTTTGAGTAGTAGTTTTGTTTAATAATTAAGTTGTTTATTTTTTTTGTTGTGTTTTATTTTAACTTATCTAAATTTATTTTAAAAGGGAGTTAAAGTGTGTTATAGATTTGGTTATATAATCAGTTGGTTAATGTTATTTAGATTATGATTAATATTTATAACCCCATGAACAGCTCTGGGGAGTAGGGGGGGATGGGGGTTGGAGGGGTAGGTAAGGGGGATTTACAATGTAAATTTTATAAAACTTTTAATAAAAAAAAATTCTCTCTATTATACCAATGGAATTTCACTGATTTTTATCGTTTTACCATGGAAAAGGGAAATAATACCTAAATTACATAGACCAATCCAGTACTTGCATTTTCCATTTCCCCAAACTTAAATACTGTTTGGCCTTCTTATAAAACTCATATTGTATGTTGAGATCTAGCTAGTTCCTGCATTCCTGGGAGTTAATTTCATGGACTTTCTGTTTACTGTATTTGACCGCTTGATGGTGAAGTTTTATTGCTCTCATTTTAAACCCTTCTAATAAAAAGCAAGAGGTAAACAATGTCACAAGCCAATTCCGCACTTGTTCATTGTTTGCACAGCTGATAGGCTGCTATCAGCAGAGTTTTCAAAGGCCATTATGCTTCCTCTCCAGGCAAATATTGGGAAACCATTGGCATATTTTTTTTCTATAATTGTAATAAACTCAGACTCTATTCAGGAGTTTAAAAAGTGTTAGTCAAGACAAAGGCAAGGCAGGATCTGGTTGTCAGATGGAATATAGCAATAAAAGTTTTCTATTTCTTCTTTCAAGGAATACTGTAGACCTGGGAGCTTATAATAGCTTTTTGGGCAAGTACATATAATCCCTTGGTACACGTTCTCATGGAACTTGGAAAATATACTGTAAAAATTTGTGCAATAAATTTCTGTATGTAGAAGTAAGATATAGAAGTAGGAGAAAAGTAAGAGCCAGTTTGGTGCAGTGATTATGGTGCTGGCCTAGAAACTAGGAGATTGTGATTTATAGCCTTATCTGTAGCCAGCTAGGTGACCTTGAGTCAGTCACTCTTTCTCAGCCCACTTTCACCTCACAGAGTTATTGTTATGGGAGAAATACAAGGAAAAAGTACTATGTATTTTTGCTGCCTTGAGTTACTTATAAAGTAACAAAAGTGGGATAAAAATTTAATAAGTAAATAAAATAAGAGATACTAGTTTTAGATATATAATCCATGGATTTTGCATATTGCTGAATTTTGGAGTCTTTATTTGGATAAGAAAATAGCCCTGTATTGATTCTCTGGCTGTTGTTCTTTACCATTTGCAAAAGTAAATACTATCACATGACTTTCTTTTATCAGGTTAGCAACTTACGATCTAAAGTATCTAGGTTTGCTATTGGGACACTTGCTGAATTGTTCAAAGCTATGAAGAAGCACATGGATCAAGAGGTTGAGGAGATTTCTCGAGTCCTGCTTCAGAAGGCAGGTGATACTAGTGAATTCATCCAGAAAGCAGCTGACCAGTCCCTGGGGATCATGGCACAGAGTGTGACTCCATCGCGAGCAATGACAGCCCTCATGGCCAACGGAGTGAAGTATGTACAATGCCTTTTAATCTGCAATCTCAATCCTTGCTGGTCTGTGGGCATGAGCAGTAAGTGCTAGCATTTACAAAAAATAATATTGCTGGAGGAGATAATTTCATACCTCTGAATTATTACAGTAATTTGGGAAAATGTATAACCCTTCAGATGTAGCTGACTATAGCTCCTAGCATTCCTCACTATTGAACGTGATGAAGGGAGACACTGAATGTTATAGTTTAGCGGTACCTAGGATGCAAAAGTTTTCCTATCCCTGCAAAAGGATGGCTGAATTTTTCTGTATGAACCTACAAGTGGAAACCAGAAATGTGGCTTAGCATTCAGTTCTTTGCTCCTATGCTTATTCCATTTGCCCATGAAATGGAGTAGCAGAGAAAAATCAGAAAGAACACTATTTGTTGTTGTTGTTAATTGTGAAGTCGTGTCCAACCCATCACGACCCCATGGACAACGTTCCTCCAGGCCTTCCTGTCCTCTACCATCTTCTGGAGTCCATTTAAGTTCACGACTACTGCTTCAGTGACTCCATCCAGCCACCTCATTCTCTGTCGTCCCCTTCTTCTATTGCCCTCGATCTTTCCCAGCATTAGGTTCTTCTCCAGTGAGTCCTTCCTTCTCATTAGGTGGCCAAAGTATTTGAGTTTCAACTTCAGGATCTGGCCTTCTAAAGAGCAGTCAGGGTTGATCTCTTCTAGGACTGACCGGTTTGAACGCCTTGAAGGGACTCGCAGGAGTCTTCTCCAGCACCATAGTTCAAAGGCCTCAATTCTTTGTCGCTCAGCCTTTCTTATGGTCCAACTTTCACAGCCATACATTGCAACTGGGAAAACCATGCCCTTGACTATACACACTTTTGTTGGCAGGGTGATGTCTCTGCTTTTTAGTATGCTGTCTAGATTTGCCATAGCTTTCCTCCCCAAAAGAACACTATGCAACCCTGTAAATTAAGGTGGAAATTTCCTTTGTCATCATGATGGACTGTGTCTCCTTTCCTTTGGGAAAGTACTTTCCCATTCATACTCAAGATGCTGTAGGATAAATGAAGTAGGTGTTGTTGATCAAGGTGAGCTAGAAGAACTGTTGCTATCAGCCCACACCTTGGCAGGTTTCTACTTGGCATGGAGACAAAATGTGCCCTGTTTCTGACAGCTGTGATCATTTTGTTGCAGCCACCGAAACCCCCTCATTCGAAAATGTGCTGCTGGACACTTACTGACAGTCATGGAACAAATTGGGGCTGAGAAACTACTCTCGGGCAATCGGGAGAGTACGGAGTTATTAGTGCAGACATTAGTGAAGATGGCTCAGGATTGCCATCAAGACACAAGGTAACAGCAGGAAGTGCCGTCCCCTCAATGAAGACGGAATTTTATTGTCCAGTGATCTTAATAAGAGTTCCTTTTACTCCACTAGGTGTTATGGCCGGAAGATGCTGAACATGCTTATGTGTCATTCAAAATTTGATGGGTATTTGAAACAAAATGTACCATCACATGACCTGCGGGATGTCATGGCTGCAATTAAACAAAAAGTAAGTATGGAAGCCCAGGGACAACCTTGGAAATGCGTAAATTAAAAAGGGAATCAGAAGATCTGATACTGTACATGGACATTGAGTGAACAATTGAGTATGTTTCAGAAATGACATAAAAAACTAATATACCACTAGCATTCACTTATAGCAGTAAAAACATTATTTCCTTAAGTCTGCTTTATTAAATACACCCCAACTGGCAGAGTTCACATAGCTTAATACATTCACCATGGTTTCCAAGCCACAATGGCTGGTTTTGTATAATATTCTTAGTCCAAATCAGCCAAATGGTTTAACATGAAGTATAAATCAGTTGGCAAGAAAAGGTGGGTATTTGTAATTGACCAGAATGTTAAAATGACTGTGTGACTTTATCTGTGTAGGGGACAGAAGATTCAGCCTCCCAAGCAACTTCTGCCAAAAGTTACCGAGGATCAAAGAATGGCAGTTTGACAATCTCACTGGACAGCCTGTCTTCGGGTGAAGGGTATGTCGGGAAGCATCATTTGCTTCTATGATTAGCTGGATTTTGAAAAAACACAGAGCATGTCACTGGGAGACATGCTGTATTTTTTTTAAAAAAAAGCTCAGGTGCTGTTATATTCTACATGCATGTTGGGAGACCAGAGTCAAGAGAAAAGCTTGTTCCTTTTCTGTCGCCTTTCCTTTGCTGTTGTTTTAAGCACAATTCATTTGCTTGAGATGCTTGATGTTTTTCTCATAGTTTATGCCATTGCTGAAAACTCTTAATTTAGGAAAGAAGACTGATATGTGAAAACTTTTGTCTGCCCTCTAGAACAGGGCTCTTCGAACTTGGCAACTTTAAGACTTAAACATGTCTGGACAAAGAATTCTGGGAGCTGAAGCCCACAAGTTTTAAAGTTGCCAAGTTTGGAGATCCCTAGAACAGAGCTTCTGCATCCAGACAGCACACCTTCAAGTAGCCTTTAGATGTCAGTGAAGCTTTATTTGACTGTGACTCTTTGCTGCCCTTTGATAAGCACCCAGACTTATTGTATATAGGGTGCTAATCCTCTTCTCTTTTCTCTAGAATGCGTATAAGTTTTCTTGAAAGTCTGCCATCTCAGAGAAGCAAATTGCCAGCTGAATTTACCATTTGTCTTCCCACTCTAGCTGCAGAGAGAGCTTGATGGCTTGGGGAGAATGTTTTGGAAATACACACTGCCTGTTTGCCCTTTGCTGCAGAGCTCCACACCTGGTGGAAGCCATCTCTCTTGGCACTGAGTGAGCGACATCCTCTGGATGGCATTGCCTGGGGCATGAAATTACAAATTTTAGCAATTAGCAGGACTAGTAGCAATAACAGAGCAGCAAGGAATAAAGAAAAGCAGGATATGTTTTACAGAAAGAGAGAGAGGGAAATTGCTAATTCATAACTGAGGAAGAATTTTGGAAACTTTTTAGATTCTGTGTTTTTAATCATTTGAAATCATTTGCACAACCAAGAGTAGAGTTTTCTTCTTTTCTCTGTTCTCCAGACTTACTGTTCAAATTTACAGCTTTTTCTCTGTGGACTCCCTTTCTTTTTACCCCCATTTTCTTTGTATAATTCACACTCTTATTGTTGTTATGGGCTGGATATGAGTTCTTCAGCCTCTTCCAGAAGGCTAAAAGGATACTTTATAAAAAAAAAAAAGTATGAGAAAAGGGACATATAATGGACAGATAAGAGACAGTCCTGTGTGGAGAGGTAGAATCCATTAAGTCATAATAATTTCTGTCTTCAGCTTTTATATTCACCACGTTTATCTGAGAACTCAGGCTGAGCACCTACAACTTTTTAATGCTATTTTGGTCTCTGACAAAAGGAATAGGATGCCTGATCCTATATTAAGTCAAGGGGACAAACAGATATGTTTGAAGGAGATATGACTGGATGTACTTGTGCCCTTGATTGGTCACTCTGTGGTGAAGATAGAGCTGTTGCAGCATGTTTCCCTCTGCAAGGCAGAAATCAGATTAGATTGGAACATCTCTAGACTTTGAATATATCCAGGCCATTATTTGGCCATGCCTTACAAAAACCCCATCCTATCAAAACAATTTCAGATTGTTAACACCTCAGTATAGGTGACAGAATTCCTTACCAGCTTAAAGATGTTGATGGTGAGATCTTTATTTAAGAAGCTTCTTCAACCTATTGCAGCAATCACAGGTCATTGTTCAATATTCCATGTTTAACTGAGCTGAAGGAGAAGGCTGGCCGTCACATTTTTGACTCTCTCTTTTCTCAAATAGGTCTGGAAAAGTTAGGTTTAATTCAGGACCTAAACCGTATGTCTATAGAAACCAGTGAAACTATTTTCTAGACACGTTTCACTCTCTGCCCTTCTCTCAGGGGTAATTATAAAGACCTAGAGAGTGTAGTGGACAAACATGTTAATAGAAAAAGTTCGGTCTTTGTTGGAGATGTCAATTTATGGAGATTCCACTCTTGTCACTTTTGGTGGCTTTTGAAAATGGCATAGGCAAACATCAGTTCCATCTTTTGGAATTATTCTATAGATTCCTGTTATGAGTCTTTATTATTTATTTATTAATTATTGCTTATGAAACCCTTGGGTAGGATCATATGTAGGTTTGGAAACTTTTATCAGAACTATGCTGATGATATTGATCTGTACTTGACCTTTTCTAGAAATTCAGGGCTGACTTCTCAAGAACCTGTAAGGGACTGAATGGGAAAGAATAAAACTAAGCTGAATTCATCCAAGATGGAATTGCTGTCATTTCTATGGGACAGTCTTTAGGATTCATATGATATGCTTGTTTTGGATGAAACAAGTTCACAATATAAAGTCCTCCTGAATCTAGTGTGCACACTGGAAACACAGAAGATCTGTGCCAAAAGTATTCTTTTATCAGCTTTCGTTGATAAACCAGTTGTGTCCCTACCAGTGGAAGAATTATTTGCATCAGTTACATAATGATCTCAAATTTGATTTAGGGTAATGCATTTTGGAGGGGCATTTTGGAAATTGCAATTAGCCCTGAGTATAGTGGGCAAATTGAAGTTTCTCAAAAAGCATCCCTATATTGAAATACCTACTCTTCATGTCAGTTTATTTCTAAGACTAATTAAAACACTTACCTTGTTGTGGAAAATCTTACACAAGTTTAAGTCCATGAAACTTATAGCACTGCTTGCTTTTCTATAATCTGCCCTACACCCTCAGGACTTTTGCAGATCTCATTATAGTTGTGTCAAACATCAACATCTCTCCCAGTTATCTGGGAAAGGAGGCTTTTGACAAGCCACCATTTGCCAATTTAGAGTGTTTAGAGGTTTTTTTTTAATGTTACTAATGTATTGCCTTGTTTTTAATTGCATATATAGTTTTTAATACCATAATTAGCTTGATCTTTTATATGCTGCTCAGAATCACTGAGAAATTAGTGGCTATACACTTGTAAACTCAAGGAAATAAATTAAAAGAATCTCATCTCCAGCTTTTCCTAATTTACCGTACTATTCTGAAGTTGATTCAGAGTCTTCCATCTTGCATCTGGAATGACTCACGAAGGTTAAGTGAACATTGTTTAACTTGCATGGTATATTTGGCACACCAAAAATAGTGTTTCCTTTCAGGGCTTGATAAAATTATTTACTGTAATATCATATGTTTCAGAAATATGGTGAAAAGCTGTTCACTTTTCAATTCCAGGTCTACCATGGATGTTCTTAATTTCTCGCAACCTGCAGCTCGTGGCTCCTCACTTCGCAGTGTAGAAATAATGGAGCAGCTGAAGGAGTTGAACAAACAGCTTGGGGCCAAGGAATTTCAGATACGAATAGATGGAATAGCCTTACTAATGGACCATTGCAAGAAGAACCCACACTTTGTCTCGTCAAATATTGTGCAGGTATTCATTATGAATATCAGTAACCCTAATTAAAACATAAATATTTATTAAAGTTGCAAGGGCAATACCATCCTAGCATCCAGCCAGATGAATTAATTTTACTCTTTTTTTTTTTTTTACTTTTCTCCAATTTATTATTTGTTATGAAGAATTCTTTATAATAGTTGGGGCACATGGACTCTCCTTGTTGGAGATCCAGTTTTGCTTTTTCTTGTTAACTGTTAAAACAACAGGAGTAGAAGCAGTTCTGCTTTCATCTCATGGAGAGACTGATACTATTAGTCCGTCAATTTAAAACTGCTTCCCATAGGAACATTAGAATATTTCCTCTACCTCTTGTTTCCCACCTTGAAGGTAGACAACTTAGAAAGGGAGCTTTCTTTCATACCATATAACATCCTTAATGACCAAGTTATCCTATTATGTCTTAAACCAGCTGTTCTCAACCTATGGGTCGCGACCCCATTTGGGCCGATCGACCATTTCACGGGGGTTGCCAAGCAAGGCTGTCCGCCATTTTTTCCCCCTTTTCTGGCAGGTGCCTTACCTCCCTTGAGCTGGGCCAGCTGGTGGTCGGCCTGCTAGGTCTCTCCCGCTTGCCAGCTACGCCTTGGCCGGCGCAGGGGGCGGAACCACGCATGCGTGGCGCTCCTGGGCAGGGAAAGTCCTCGACTTACAACCGGCTGGGTAGTCCTCGACTTACGACCGGTTTAATCGTCGACTTACGACCGGTTTAGTCTTCGACGTACGACCAGTTTAGTCCTCGACTTACGATCGGTTGGGGATCGCGGCATTAAAAAGGTTGAGAACCACTGCCTTAAACATTAACAGTTCTACTTCCACATCTAAATGTGAGCCTTGGTGAATGAATTGGAGGGTGGTTTGATTTGTTGCAAATGACCTCTATTAACACTCGATAAATGAGGGTGAATTCCCACGTTTTCTGTGTTTGATATTTATGGTAGAATTTACTTGCTTATTTTCTTAATGTTAACAGATTTTTGATACTTTTACACTGAGGCTTCAGGATTCCAACAAGAAGGTGAACCAGTATGCATTAGAATCAGTTGTCACCATGATTCCACTGCTTAAGAATGGCTTTGTTCCAGTCCTGTTCTCTGTGGTGACTATAGTGATGGACAACTTAAACTCAAAGAATTCTGGGATTTACAGTGCGGCAATAAAAGTTCTGGACACAATGATTACTTATTTAGGTAATGGTTATCTACTTGCCAGATATGTCTATTTTTGTGTTTGCTGTTATATCATATCTTTCAGCCCACCAGATAAAAAGACTTACAGAATTTTAAAGAAAGCAGACTGTGAATGTGCTAAGTTAATGCATAGTTTTGGGGTCATACTTCTTTTGAGTTACAAATTACATTCAAAGTCTCTCAAACTGCAGATCTCAGTATATAAGTGCATTTGATTTAACATATAAGTTTAGGAAATCTCCCCACAATTTTAGTTAACAGTGGTAGAATAGCTCTCTCTCTCTCTCTCTCTCTCTCTCTCTCTCTCTCTCTCTCTCTCTCTCTCTC